TATATATATATATATATATATATATATATATATATATATTATAAAGGTATATATATATATATAAAGGTATATATACCTTTTAAATTTTTGCATATCTCTGAAATTTTGAGTAGGACATCATTGTGAGATTCAAGTGAGATGCATGTGAATCGTAAGTGCGTTAAATGCCTGCCGCAATTCTCAAGAAATTGCACGAAATGCGAAGAAGAAAAGTTGCATGATGCAAGATCTAATTGTCGCAAATATTTACATCTAGGTGTAAAGTAGCAAAGTATATTATAAAAATAAGTAGGACAACAGATATTTCGCATGTCCAAACGTGTATATAGTAGAGGGTCCCGTGTTAAATTATTGAAACGCTTATTTACTTGGTTCATGAGGCATAACGTCTTCAAGTCTAAGTGCTTTAATATTTCTAGAATTACTTCATCCTGCAAAAGATAAAACACAAAACTTTAGTACATGAAATAACATTGAAATCAATATTATTATGAGAAATAGACTTCTTAGAATACTTTACAGAAAACGCAGAAAAACTGTCAGGTGATAGCTCTTTGGATTCATCTATACGATTCATATAATCAGGGATTACCTTCCTAAGAAGTGCAGATGTCTTTTCATTCCCGAAATTATTCTTATAAAAACTGTTTTCTACATCGCTGCAAATAATGTCGGAACAAATTTATTTTTATTATTAACAGAATAAAGAAAGATTGAATATTCCCAGATAGCAAAACATCAGTTATATTTACGAAATATGTGCGTAAATTCGTGACAAATGTTTGTACAAACAACATGTAAAACTGCGTCTGTAAATGCTCAGCAACAATATTGAATTTGTTTCAAGCAATGGTCTATTCATTATATTTATTACATTTTGGTAGCAACAGTTTACGCCCGGAAGCTTCATTGGCTATATAGTTTAAATATTATTGATGGAAACAACACATTTTTTTGCTGCAACCCACCATAAATATGAATTCTATAGAGCTACGATTTCATTCGTGTTTACGCAATATTTGTGGTAACAATACGTAAACTGTTTTTAGCAATAATTTGCACACTCACGTTTTACTACCTACTTAATGTTGAAAAATGTAATACCTCTTACAAATAACACAGTGTTCAGGAAAATTCTTTTGAAGATGGTCAATATCCAAATGTGCATTTTCGTAATTTGCTGTTAGATTATGGACATCCTCATGGCGAGAATACATGTAGTTAAGTCTTTTTAATAGATCAGTTAAACTCTCTTCAGGATTTCTGGGAAGGATCAATTTTGACGTTCCGATAAGCATCACAGCGTCTAGCTTTGTGTAGTCTAATATACTGTGCTTAAATTCTAGTTTGAGTTTGTTGGTTTTAAAGTTACACAGCTGTAAGGGTGGAGAAAATAGTCTTGATATCGGAGGCACAATCTGAGGCAATCCATCCCACAATAAAATCCACCGATTATTTGAAGAATCTTGAACCCAAATTTTAATTACGTTTCCAGGATTATATACTTCGTATATAGAGACTCTGATTGGATATACAGCTTCATGAAACTCGATTTCTATAAAGTAGAAAGTATAATTATGATTTCTTCCCAATGGAAACATTTCTTCTTTAATAATATTTTATTTATCAATTAAAATATTACATACCCAGATGATTGATGTGTTTGATATCTTTTTTATGCCATATACGACGATTAGGCCATCTATTAGGTAGTGTATGGGAAGGTAATAAAGATAATAATGAGATATCGAAATCATAAGTCCTCTGTATTAAAATATTGAAATGTCAAAATGTGTCAAATACTACAATTAGCATAATGTTAAACTGTGATTACTTCTACAGGACAATAATCCCGCGAAATATACGCATACCATAATGAGTGTTTCTGAAAAATCTCCATATTTTGGAAATTTGGTAGGTCCCCCTTTTATGTAACGTAAAGTACAAAGTGTGGCGAGATTATTGGTACAATCATATCTATAACTATTCACAAATTGATAGATAAAGTCAACAGGATTTTTCTCTCCTGTTGAGACCCTGTCGATATAGGGATATTGACTCAAACTCTCACTCTCAAATGGATAATGGAATGTCATATTCTTTCTCTGAAAGCAGATAAAAGATATGAAGGTTATAATCCTTGCCCTTTTTGGCATGAAAACGCTAAAATGCTGCATTATAATACTTTACATTTATTATAATTATATAATTAATTATATCTATTATAATTATATAATATAGATCGTTGCATAATTAATATATTTGATTAATGTGCTACAAATATTGAAATGTTTGAAATGCTTTTTTTATTTATATATCAGATATCAATATTGAAGACAATGTTAAAGATAAAAGTGAAGACAATGTTGAAGCCAATGTTGAAGATAAAAGCGAAGACAATGTTAAAAACAATGTTGAAGATAAAAGTGAAGACAATGTTGAAGCCAATGTTGAAGATAAAAGCAAAGACAATGTTGAAAACAATGTTGAAGATGAAAGTGGCGACGATGTTGAAGACAGAAACCAACAGAATGTTGTAGATCATGTTTCTGATGACGTTTCAACGATTTGTGATAACGGACGTATTCGCCAAAGGTCAAGAAAGATACATCATGTTAAGAAAAAATTATTTAATCGGAATATATTGAATAAGTCATCTAGCAATTCTGATAATGGTAAGTAAAAATCAAATTAATAATTAATATTTAATAATTTTTTAATTTTTTGCATTAATTAATTTTAGTTAAATTTCTTATGTAATTTTATTAAGATTGTTACATTCTTATGCTAATGTACAATGCAAAAAAAAAATTTATAATCAATGTTTTTTGCATGGACTTTTAGCAAGTACAAGAATGAATGAATGAATGATGTTTGTTTATTGTGCCAAAATTACATAA